ACCACAGCTGGCCGCTGAGTAGGCAGCTTTGGTAAGGAGGACAAGTCAGGACCTAGACAGACCACAGCTGGCCGCTGAGTAGGCAGCTTTGGTAACGAGGACCAGTCAGGACCTAGACAGACCACAGCTGGCCACTGAGTAGGCAGCTTTGGTAAGGAGGACAAGCGGCAGACTGCTGTGAACCGAGAAGCAAGAGGGAAAGTGAAACACTAGAAGCAACAAGAATCAACTTCTGGAAAGTTCATTTGGAAAAGGCATCAGTAAGACAGGGCGGGAGCAGTAATGAAGGAAGCAGCGAAGACAGGGCTCGTATTTTCCCGTTAGACAGGGTTCGCACAGCTAGGGGCAAGAGAGGAGCAGCTTCAGGTGAGGAAGGGAAGACGGGACAGATGCCGCTCTAGGTGTGCACCGCGGATCTAGTGAGTCAATACAGGAAAACTCTAGACACGGCCAGAGGGTGTGACTGCGGGACGGCAGACACAGGGAGGATGGGAAAGAAGGAGGGGGTACGAGGTTTCAACTCGGGGCAGAAAGGGAAGAACGGTTCTGCTCTGCCAGGAGGACCAGAGGGTGGAAGGACCCCGGGTGGAACTGGACGCGCTGAGCAGAAGGCCACGTTTTCTCTCTGCAAACAGCAACGGTCGATGACTGCTGGGAACTGAGGTTTGAAGGCAGGGGGGCATCTCAGGAGGGCCGGTAAAGGGTGTGGAAAGACACCCTCCAGCCCACCCAGGACCTCTTGGCAGACAGATCGCTTGGAAGCTATCACTGACCCTGTCACAACACCCCCCTTGCTGTCCTCCAAAAGGTCTCCTCGACTTTCATCACCCTGGAATATCCTGGTGTTCATCCTCGTGGCTCATCAGACAGCAAACAGCCCACCGAAGTCTGTGTCCCCCTCCCCCCCAACCCCGGACAGAGTGGTTCCTGGGAAGCAGTCGCCCACCTGGAGTCGGCACTTCCCAGTGCCCTGGTGCAGGTGGGGGCTGGGACGAGTCACCACCAAAGAAACTGGGCAGAAGCCCTCCAGACCTCCCTCCTCCTTACCCTCAAGCGGATACAGAGGACACTGAGGCCCTGGGGGCAGGAGGGCCACAGGAAGGAAAGGAGCCTGGGCCCCAGAGCCCCCATCTGTAGGAAAGCCACCGCTGCGAGCTCTCATCACCTTGGCTGACACGGCAATGACACTGAGCCCGCGGCTGAGGCCGGAAGACGGCTTTTCAGGGAACCTCCCTCCCCATCTCAGGAGCAGCAGTGGCTAGCTGACACCCACAGAAAGACGGCAAGGCTCTGGACGGCAAAGGTGGCCCAGACGGTGTCTGACACCACAGGGACAAGGGACAGCAGGGGGCCGTGCGCCCCGAGACGGCGATAGGCTGACCAAGGCGGGGGCCGAGCGCCCCGAGACGGCGATGAGCTGACAAAGGCAGGCCGTGGCGGTGGGGTGCCGAGCACCCCGAGACGGTGATGAGCAGACGAAGGCGGGGTTGGGGGGCCGAGTGCCCCGAGATGGCGATCAGCTGACAAAGGCAGGCTGTGGCAGGAAGGCACATGGTGGGCTGTGTGCAGAGAGGAGGGTCTGAAGTTCACCAGCAGCCCCCCGAGAGCAGGCCTTCTGGAGCTGAAAAAGGAAGCGCTGAAGGAACAGTGGAGGCAGCCCTGGAGACAAAAGAACACGGCCTTCCAGAGCGGGCAGGGGGACGTGGGGGGCTCAGGCTCCGGAAGCAGGCTGCCTGGGTGCCCGACCCTCCTCCACCCACGGACTCAAACCCCTGCATCTCCCTGTCTCCTGGTTTTCATACTGCACTGAACCTGAACTCGGCAAACAGCTTTGGGATTCGTGCCCCAAGCCCCCACCAACCAGAGGGACGGCCGAGAACTAGAAGTCAAGGTCACTATTCGGACTAGTTCCCATTTCAGAAGGAATACCTGAAACAGCCAAATTCACAGGTCTCAAGTTTTGGTGGAGAGATGGCATTCACTGCCTTTGTTTAAGCAAAGCAAGAAGACAAAAAACTGCCCTGACTTATCTTCCCCTGCTTTTTCCTCCACAGGAAATATCAAAATTTGCAGTTATCTATCTGCTTCCTGTTGCCCCTGCTAGACTGTGAGCACGTCCGCCCTGTCAACCAGCACATACCCACATTAACGTGCTAAATGCAACTTGTTCGTACAAAAGTACAATATGATTTATTTCAATTCTACCTCAAAGCCACCAAATACAGTCTGCCACCTAGTGTCTATAACAGAAATTCAGTCAAAATAAATGATGGAAACACACACACACGCGCGCGCGCACACACACGCACACTCATGCACACACACACGCGCACACACACACACACACACACACCCTTACCTTCTTTGCAAATGTTGGGCAATTAAATAATGTCCACAGACAGCAGCAGCGAACCCCACGTGCCCCAACACAGAGCCCCCGCTCCTCTCAGCATACCCCGCTGTCTAGTACCGTGCTGTCTCGTATGGTAACCACGAGCCACATGTAGCTATTTCAATTCAAGGTTAAACTAATCCAGATAAACCCTCAAACATGAAGCTCCTCAGTCACGCTCGCCGTACTTCAGGCGCGCAAGAGCCACCGGTGACCGAGACAGCTGCCCCGGTGCAGAGCTAGAGCGCCCCGACGGCAGGACAAGGACTGGACAGCACCACAACCGACGGGACAGACTGCCCTGAGCGCTGAGAACAGGGGGATGAGGAAGTGGGGCAATGGGACAGCAGACACCGGAACTGCACAGGGACCCCAGTGAACGTGCCCAAGGATGTGGGACACTCTGCTCCTTGCCAATGAAGGCGGAAAGCAGCCCTCAGGGACAAGCTGTCTCTTCTGGCATCAGATCCACACCCATCCACGGTAGGATGTTACAGTGACCACTGTAACAAAAATGGCATGCTATTCATAACCAAGGCATTATTATTTTCCTGGCTTTAAACTTAGTACAGCGGGCCAGAGAAGCACAAATTAAAATATCTTGAAAAAGAAAATTCTTTCAACGCTAGTAAATGAGAAGGCTTGAAATGAGAGTCCCTCCTAAAATTAAATTCTGGCCATGCCCCTGTGTACAGGGTTAATACCACTAAGAGAAGCAGGCACAGAGACGCGCTCTCTCCAGGACTTCCCAGGGCCACTTGCAGGGATGGATTATCCAATAGGCCAGGTAAGCACGGTGCTCACCTTGCTTACCAGATCGTCTACAGTGAACAATTTCCCATTTTTTCACCACATCAAAGAATCTGCTCCGAGGTATGGCAGACATCTGTCTCTCCCCCGACCCCACAGCACCTTCCTAAAGAATCAAAGCCTCTTTTCAAATTTACAATCCCTGACGGGGGTGATGACCCAGTGAGCAAGGTAAGCACAGGCTTCCTTGTGCTTACTTCCTAATCTGTAGTGGACAATTTCACCACAGATGATCTGGTAAGCGAGGTAAGCACCGTGCTTGCCTTGCCTACTGGATAATCCGCCCCTGGCCATGTGTGATTGGCCCCTGTGTCTCCAGCCTCATCTCCTGCCCTTGACCCTCACTCTAAGCCATTCTCTCAGCCTGGAACATGTCTCTTCAAGAGCCTAGCTCCTTCTCGCTCCCCACGTCCTAGCTCAACAGTTACCCTTGGAAAACCTGCCCCAACCTATCTTCCCCTACTTTTTCCTCCACAGGAAATATCAAAATTTCCAATTATCTATCTGCTTCCTGTCATCCCTGCTAGACTGTGAGCACGTCCACCTTGTTGACCAGCACGTACCCAGAGCCCTGCCCAGGGCCTGGCTGACTCCCTAAGTCTCTGTCAAATGAATAAGGCTTCAACTGACGACTACTGCTTGCTCTAAGGGTCTGCACTTTAAAATGTGTTCCTTTACAATCTGTATTAAAGTAACACACACACGATTTACAAACCTAGTAAGAGAGAGACGCTTCTGATTCTGGAAGTCTCCTGCCCCCTCACTCCCCAAGGCAGCCTCTTTCTTTAATCAATTCTGGGTTCAGTTCTTCTGCAGGTTACCCCCCACATTCTGAATGTCATGCTCTCTCACATGTGGCAGACCATCCATTACTGTGTTTTTCTCCTGCTTCTGGAAAGTAACCCTCGCCCTCAGAATGATGCTGCCCAGTGTCCACCCGGCCAAGGCTGGCCAGAGTACCCAGAGGCGGGCAGGGGACTCATGCAGGGCCAGTCACACACTACTTCACAGGCTGAGACCCCAGGCTGCCAGAGGCCATCCCTCCTGTCCTGTGGAATAAGCCCCCTAAGAAGGAAGCCCGCACAGAAAGCAGAGCTGAGGCATGAAAATGCTCAGTGTGGACAGCAGAATTCAAACCACCAGGTCCAGCCTCACCTAAAGACAGCAACCAGGCTGGTACTTTCCAGGAGCCAGACCAAGAAATTCCTTTTCCTGCTCTGGTTTCGGATGGGGTTCCGTCACTGCAACTGGAAGACTGCTGAATAACTATTTCATGATTTACAGACTGGAGACAACTTTAGCCACTATTAATTCCACCCTATCAAAGATGAGTATGGATTGCACCTCAGCATAAAGAAAACAAAAATCCTCACAACTGGACCAACAAGCAACATCCTGATAAATGGAGAAACGATTGAAGTTGTCATGGATTTCATTCTACTTGGATCAACGATCAATGCCCACAGAAGCCGCAGTCAAAAAATCAAACAACGTATTTCATTGGCCAAATCTGCTGCAAAGGACATCTTTAAAGTGTTAAAAAGCAAAGATGTCACTTTGGGGACTAAGGTATGCCTGACCCAAACTATAGTATTTTCAATTGCCTCATATGCATGTGTGAAAGCTGGGCAATGAATAAGGAAGACTGAATAAAAATTGATGCCTTTGAATTATGGTGTTGGCAAAGAATACTGAATCCACCATGGACTGCCAGAAGAACGAACAGATCTGTCTTGAAGAAATACAGCCAGAGTGCTCCTTGGAAGCCAGGATGGCGAGACTTCATCTCATGTACTTTGGACATGTTATCATGAGGGACTAGTCTCTGGAGAAGGACATCATGCTTGGTAAAGTAGACGGTCAGTGAAACAGAGGAAGACCCTCAACAAGAGGGACTGACACAGTGGCTGCAACAATGGGCTCAAACACAGCAAACACTGTGAGGATGGCGCAGGACCGGGCAGGGTTTCGTTCTGGTGTACGTAGGGTCGCTGTGAGTCGGAACCAACTCGACAGCAGCTAACAACAACAACATTAAAGATGAGACTTGGTTCACTCAGGTTACCTCCTACCAATCCAAATTATATTTTTGGTTCTATCTGGTTACTTTTATGGCCTCTAGTTTTGGTTCCGTCAACTTTAGACCTTACTGCATAACCCCAACAACGCAAGACAAGATCTGCACCTGCTCCTTGTATCCTTCCGCCTCTTTCTCTACCTTCCACCTCCCAAACTAAGTCAGTTTTCCTTTTCTGTCAGAGCTGAAAACATTTTTATTCTGTTCTACAATCATAATTCAGTCATTAAGTCTTTCGTGTTTTATTCATACACAGATCCCAAAGGTGAAAAATCAAACAGTATTTACATTATGACTACTAAATATTGTTCCTAACAGAGCCAAGAAGCCTAGAAGGTTTCCACTTCTTTTCTCAGGGTCCTTGGTCATGACCCTGCACCACTTACAGGGAGCGTGTTTAATGCCAAGGTCTTCCATCATCTCATGCAATGCTTTGGTTTGTTTCCTATTTGGACCACAACTTCCTTGCTGTTTGTCATTCCTAGAGATTAGAATTGCCTTTGTTTTTTTCTTACTAAGAGAAGAAAGATGTGCCTGTACCATGCCACTCAAGTCTCCCGGCTTCTTACTCATTTTATCTAGAGAAAGATTCTTCCTGAAAATGCTCATCCTCCTGGAGGCCACTGACTGTCCTAAGAGGGACTGGCCACATCCGATGCCGGCTGCACAGCTGGCATCGTTTGACTTCCCTCTTGGGTTCATTGTCCTTTTTAACTCACAATTATTCGTAAGGGTAACAAAAACATCTTGGCCTTACAAATCCTCAAAGCAGAAGAGAGCTCTCAGTTCTGCTGTCATCACCAGCAGGACATTTTCAAACGGCACACCGAGCAGAGCTTCCACTGCCCGGCACAGCCCCACCCTCTGTGCGGTGCCTCACGGAGACCCATCTGATCCGCCTACCAGACTTGAAGATGTGGATCAGACACATCAGCAGCGTGCCCAGCTCTTGGCAATAGAAAGTGTGTTGCTGTTCACTCATTTCCACTTTCAGCTGCTTCGTGACAATGTCCTCTAAAAGAATGCCAACCAACTGGAGCAGAAATCTTCAAAGAAGGAGAAAAGGAATAAGGTGAACGAGGTGACTATTTACGGTATTTATGTGAGCTATGTAGGAAATGCAGGTAAAATAAACACAGTTAAAGTGGCACATTTAACACCATCCCCTTGGGTTAAGTCACTTTATCTGAGCATCACCTTCCTTACCTAGTAAATGGAAATGACTATACCATCTTCGAAGTGCTGTTATGAGGATAAAATGACATGTAGTTTTTATTTATTTTTTAAAAGCTCTGTAAACTGTAAAGCATTACACAAATATACTTGACATACAAAATTTATGTCTCATCACGTTTGGCTACTTGCTTAAACGTAACAGATGCCTGGAAAGTGTGGGAGAGCACCAAGCCGCCTGTGTTAAACCTTAAACAAAAAGGCGTCATGCAGATTTACTGGGTGTATTTTCATTAACAACAAGGGTCATCTCAGTGACAACTCTAAGGGACAGCTAAAATGAAGTTACAGAAGAGCTGGCCGGAAGAGCACGTGGTCAGAAATGGTGCTCACATGGCACATCTAAGGAGCTCTAAGTCAGTGAGCGCGCTCGTCCAGCAGAGGCGGAGCCATGTGTGTCCAGCAGAGGCGGAGCCACGTGCATCCAGCAGAGGTGGATCCACGTGCGTCCAGCAGAGGTGGATACACACGAGTCCAGCAGCAAGCACCTACAGTGCCTCCACTGAGAGGACTGCCCTCAGGGAGCATCCACACGATCGATGAGGAGGACAGGTTTGGCACCACAAGCGCACCCTGGGGTGTGCTGTCCAACATGGGAGGGATGAGTATTTTATTAGTGACAATGTTTAGAATCACCAGCATACGGTTAGAATAAAAGTAAGACCAATTTGCAGTGGGTCTTCTTACAGTTTTAAATTCTCGGCAGACAACGTACCCTCCAGCGCCGCACCAGGGCTGGCCGCCCCGCCGCCCCGCCCCTGGTGTGCCACTGTGCTGGAGTCTGTAGCAAGAACATGAGCTGGAACGTAGCAGAACCATGAAAGAGGTACAAACCATGGGCTCAGGCAAGGCAGCCCGAGCGAACACACTGGTATACACTCCTGTACCTGGTCACAGAGCTGCAGCAAGACTGGGAAAGCGCTGGAGTCATTCCAGACTCCTTGCTCACAAAACGCTACCTGGATCTGCTCACTAAAGGTTCAGATAGAAAGCATACCTGGAAAAGGTTTCTTCTGGCAAATTCTTCGTTTCTCTCCCTTCACTGTGTTCTTCCGGTGTTGAATTACTGCCCCCTTCTCTCAACCTGTTAATTACCGGACAGGAGATTAAATACGGGGAGAAGGAGAGCTCCTGAATGCGAGAAAGAACGATGTCTTCCGTTGACTGGGAAATGAGAACCCTCAAAATGGCTAGGATTCCCGATATCCACAGCTGAACGGTGCTCACAGATGCCTAGAAGAAGGTAAACAAACACGCGCTAGCTAAAGAAGACTGCATGTGAATTTTTTTCCTGACTGTCAATCTCACGGAAGAAAACGGCCACCACTGCACCACTCCGCCGGCACGTCACTACATCACTGGTTCTCAGGGCGTGGTCCCCCGGGAAGCAGCACCAACACCACCTGACAACTTGCTAAAAACGCAAACGCTCAGGCCCCGCCCAAACTCCCTGACCCAGAAATTCCGGGGTGGTCCCCGCAATCTGTGCTTTCACAAGGCCTCCAGGAGACCAGTGGCTGCACGACAGTTCTGTATCTGACACGCGACCACGAGGCGGGACACTCACCATTGTACTTGGAGTGACGAACATGCTTCGTAAGAGCATGTCCACAGGACGGAGGGACGAGGGGGCCAGAATTTCAAATAAAGTGTTCAGCACTCCAAGGGCTTCGTGAGAATCAATGTGCATCTGTTGCAATTAAACACGACAAAAGTTTTCACGTAAGCCAACAAAAATGCCAGTGTTACATTAACCAGCTTATACATTTCAAGGTCCAATGCCATCGCCTCATTAAAAGACACTTTACGTATAATAGTGAACCAAGGAAGCTAATGTTTTTTTACAAGAACACTATATTAGCTATATTTTTTTACATAATGAAGGCCTTTTAATTTAGATTATTATATAAATAACTATTTTTCTGTAAAGGATTCAAACAATCTACAATAAAGTCCGTGAAAGCCGGAAGCTGTGAATGATGGAAACCTGTCAGAGGCAGAAAATTCAAACATTTCCCACTAACAGAGATGACAGCAAAGCGGTCAGACTGCACCCTGTCAAAGGCGGAAAACGTGTGAGACCCAGAAAAAGCAGGTGGCCACGTCGGCTCCCACCTCCCGGCCCAGCCGCCGCCATGCCCGCCTGGATGACCTGGTGGTCTCCTGCCCGGCTCCCTGCTCTGCCCTCACCTCCCAAGTCTCCTCTCGATGTGGGCGTAAGAAGAATCCTGCTAAAAGTCAAATCCTAACGCATCACTCCTTTGCACCAGACCCTCTAATGGTTCCCCAAAGTCCTCCACGTGGTAGAGAGGCCTTCCATGACCCACCCAGGCCCCCAAGGATCACCTCTCTCCTTCCCCTCATCCGCTCTTCCCATCGCTTGCTCCACCCACACCGGCCTCTGCTCAGCTGCCGCCCTAACAGGTGCGTCTCACCACAGGGTCTCCGCACTGCTGTTTTCTCGCCTGGGAAGCTCTCTCCCCAACACCTGCTAGCCTCGCTCCTTTACTGCGAGTTTACTCAAATACCACCTCACCAGCAAGGCTTTTTCTTATCACTACTTAACAATGCCCACTACCCGTCTGCCAGTCTGTTGTCTTGTGGTGGCTTCAGGGTCGCTGTGATGCTGGAAGCTCTGCCACCGGTATTTCAAATACCAGCAGGGTCACCTGTGTGGACAGGTTTCAGCAGAGCTTCCGGACTAAGACTAACTGATTTGGGATTTGCCAGCGCCCACAACTGCGTGACCCATCTCCTCACAATTGCATGAGCCACTTCCTGGGAGCAAATTTCTCTCTTTGTGTATTTATGTACGCTTCACTGGTTCAGGAAAAAAGGCCTGGAGATCTCCTTCCAAAAATCAACCAATGAAAACCTTATAAATCACAACAGAACACCGTCCAGTATAGTGCTGGAAGATGAGCCCCCTAAGTTGGAAGGCACTTAAAATACCCAGTGGCCGCAACAATGGACTCGAGCGCACCAAGGACCGTGAAGGTGCTGCAGGACCGTGCTGTGTTTCACTCTGTTACACACGGGGTCACCATGAGGCGGAGCTGACTCAATGGCAGCTTACAACATTTAACAAAGCAACCTCCATTCCGACACTATCCAGCTTCCTTCTCTCCTCAGATTCTCTGCGGAGTACTTACTACCATCTGCCATTTTATCCATGCTACTGATTTATCTTCCTATTGCCTGCCCTTTCGCCCCCAGAGGGCAGGGATCTCTTCTGCTCTGTTCGCTGATGTATCTACTGCCAGCACCTGGAGCAGTGTCGGCACAAGCAGGTGCTCCGTCAAGGCTCTCGGAATAGGAGAAGCAGCCATGCTTAGAGACCTGCAGGCTGTGACAGTTAACACTGTTTCAACTTGGCTAGGCTGTGAGTCTCGTGGTATGGCAGACACTGGAAGGGATGGTCTTCCATAATGGAACATGATGTAATCACCTTCCAAGATGTGATCAGCCAATCAGCTGAGGGGGCGTTTCCTTGGGGGGCGTGGCCTGCCACCAGTATACAACTGATGTCCCAGCAAGGCTCTCTCTCTGTCGACCCTGCACTCTTCTGGTTGCCTGACCTCCAGTTCTTGGGACGCAAGCCTGCAGAGGTCTCCAGCCTGTCACCTGACCTGCAGACTTTGGGGTCATCAGCCCCTGCAACCAGAAGCCAGCCCCCACAATTGATTTGGGATTTGCCAGCCCCCACAACTGATTTGGGATTTGCCAGCGCCCACAACTGCGTGACCCATCTCCTCACAATTGCATGAGCCACTTCCTGGGAGCAAATTTCTCTCTTTGTGTATTTATGTATGCTTCACTGGTTCTGCTCCTCTAGAGAACCCGACTAGGACACTCCCATCACCTCATCTTCATGGGCAGACACTCAGCCGGGCGTTCACTGTGCTCTCAGGCCCTGGGCCTCACCCTTCCTCAGGCTGTGCTCACGACAGTGAGGAGCAGGAGCAAAGCTGACAGAGAATCGCTGTGAAAACAGCACCTACAGGCATGGAGTCCGTAACCATGTCTGTCGGCCTCACCAGAACCCCAGACGCCCCTCCCATCCTGTCACGTGGTCTCAGGAAAGCAACCCCTTCACTAAAGCAACAGGGAGGAAGTTAGGAAGAAAGCAACCGTACACATGAGCGTGCCGTAAGTTTTCATCAGATGCCAAGAGTTATGAACTACTCTGCACTGACTACAGTACTGGTTCCTTTCACTGGGATGTCAAGATGGACAAACACGTACGTGCTGGCTCCATTCAAAACGCAGCCTGAAGCCTTGCCAGGCAGCGACGTGTGACGGGACCGTCTCCGCCTGACACGGCTGCTCTTCAGGTGGCCTCGCCCTGGCACAGAGGAGTCGCCACGGTGGCGGACAGTTCTCTGCCCTCGGCTGCCAGGGTGCAGGTGGTCCCAACAACTGCAGCTTACTTGGCTCTACCCTAAACGGCACAGCCAGGTCATTTTCTCCCCCTGCATTTGCGGCAACAACCAATCGCATTCTTTGTATTACAGAAATTCTGATCACCCGATGGCCAAGCGCCGAATTGCCTTTGAAGTGACAAGAAAAATAATCAAAATTCTAAAGATCGAAAAATACTTGATTGATCAGAATGGAGGCAGTAGAGTAAAAAAGCAAAGAACGCAGGCTTTGGAGTCAGCCTGGATCCAGCCCTCGTGACCACTTTGTAGCTGTGTGACGTTGTAACCTAGGTGACGTTGCCAAGCCTCGGTTTCCTCACCTGTAAAGTGAGTAGACAAGACCAACCCAAGAGTGCCATGGTGAGAATAAACGAAACATCATCAGCCCTGTGACCGGCACTGACCTTGCTATCATAAGCCTGGATCTACCACAGTTTAGTGAAAGCCGAGGATGATCGCCTACCTTTCCCGAGTACCTTCACCCACCTACGCATTCGGAATCACTCCACACTAAGGAGCTGAGACGGGGAAGACGAACCTGCTGTTTCGCCAGCATCGGGAGGATGACGTCCGCGATCTGTCGAGACAGCCGCTTCCACTTGTCTTCGTTCTCCTTGTGGCACTGCTGCAGGACGAGGATAAACATCTCCAGCACCTGGAAGAGGCGAAGCGGCACAATTACAGGGGTCCTGGTGGAGTTCCCTTCTCATTACCAAATGCTCCATCTCTCGCGGGGACTGGAGCTCAGCTGGAAGACCCTCAGACGAAAACCCATGCCTCCTCAACACGGCAGGTCGCTTTCCGCCTGATGACACGGGTCCTCACCCTATGATGTGTACCACGTGGGGAAGCAGGAGGAAACACAAGGAGGGCTGCGGCAAGTGGCTCAAGGGCACGCTCCTGCTGCCCTCTGTGCCCCGGATGAGTCACTGTCATTGTTACTTCTGCAGAGTCTACAAGAGTCACGATCAGAGAAAAGGCACAAAAAGAAAGCCACGCTTACGCTGGCCTTTGACAAGACACACACAGCCTTGACTGACACGCGCTCTGCAGGCACCTTGCTGCTGCCGTGTACATCAACTTCAATGCTGTGGGCTTTGCAGAGCTGATCGACCACCAGCACTTAGTTTCAAAAGAGTCATACAAGGCCAAACACTAGTAATTAGCATTAAAAGTGACAGTGTATTTGCAAATAGAGATATTTAAAACCTGGCAAGGGTCTCAGCCCTGGTGGCACAGTGGTTAAGAGCTCGGCTGCTAACCAAGAGGTCAGCAGTTCGAATCCACCAGCCACTCTTTGGAAACCCTATAGGGCTGTTCTACTCTGTCCCATAGGGTTGCTATGAGTCGGAATCGACTGGATGGCAATGGGTTTGGTTTTTTTGGTTTTAAGGGTCTGCAACAGGCTGGCCCACGCCCTGTCTTTGTAAATAAGGTTTTGTTGGCACACGGTCACCCGTTTGTGTGCACGTCATCTCAGGCTCTCTTCACACTACAACGGCAGAGGTGAGTAGCTGTGACAGAGACTGAATGGGCCACAAAGCTTAAGATATTTACTACCTGACCCTTTACAGAAAGTTTGCCGGCCCCCGGCCTATGATACGTAACTGCTATAAAGAAACAGCCGAATCTCTACAAAACCTGCCCGAACCACCCACTCCCTCAGCTGCCATCTCTCCTCCGGGGGCTTCTACGCCACTTCCACCACCCGACAGAAATCCGCACTTAATCCCTGGAAAAGCGGTCAGCCACCTTTACTTCACCAACTGGCCGGATGACCCTCCATCTCTAGCTTCTCTCGTCCAACACGTGTGGCTGATGAGCTACTCTCCGCCTCGGCTGAGCCTGCCAAGAGTCACTGCTTCACCTCAATCTCTTTACGGAAGTTGTACTTCTTATTCTAATTAGGTGATGTAACTAAATATTAGTGTTTAACTAAATATTGTTGTTGTGTGCCACCGAGTCAACTCCGATTCACAGTGACCCTAGAGGACAGAGTAGAACTGCCCCATAGGGTTTCCTAGCTGTCATCTTTACCAGAGCAGATCGTCAGGAGGGGCTGGTGGGTTCAAACCACTGACCTTTCGGTCGGCAGCCAAGAACTTAACCACTGTACCACCAGAACTCCTTAACTAAATATTACATAGATCAACAAACACGGATGTGCAGAGTTGTTTCTGTGGAAAAAGTTTATGATTCTGTAGACATTCAACGACCAATAGCTAAGAAGAACCGTCAAAATAAGTGAGGGCTGGCGACCGCCAAGCCAAAAGGGAGCAGTCATTTAAGAAGCTAGACTGCTGCCCTCAGCCCACCTCAAAACGTCCTTGTGTTCTCTCTCCACCTGGTTGCTGGGTGCCATCGAGTTGATTGTGACTCATGGCGACCCCACGTGACAGAGCACAATGGCCCCACACGGTTTTCTTGGCTGTGATCTTTACGGGAGCAGTTCGCCAGGCCTTTCTGCTATGGAGTCGCTGGGTGGGTGCAAACCGCCAGCCTTTCGGTTAGCAGTCAAGTGCTTAACTGTTTGCTCACCAGGGCTCCTCCGCCCCACTTGAAGGAAAGCAAAACCAGAAATCCACTCAGAAAAAGACCTTGGCCCTACATCAAAACACTGGTAAATAAATGGACAATTAAAGTCATAAAAGTATTTCCGATTTGAGGTTTCTATCATTTTCAAGAATTCTACCACTTTGACCAACTTTGTCAGTTAATAGATCTTCAGTCCTCGTTTCAGAATGACTGTTAGATGTGCATCAGTTGGCTTCCCCATGGGGCTGTACTCCCTTTAAGGACAGCTACCACTGACTGGTCTGTTTCTCTGGCCTCCTCGGCCTTGAGGAGCCCAGAGCATGTACAAAGCCACACCCATTGTCTAACAGGTCAGGTCGCTGGACAAACTGGCATCTCGCCTGGGCCGGCCCCTGTCCCCGTGTACCTGGTGGTACTGGATGAGTCTCAGCAGCATAGACACCACCACCTCCTTCTGGGTCTCCAGCTCCTTCCCTGCGTCGGCTTTATTTGTCCCTCTCAACACAAAGAGGTCGTGCACGATGGGCTGTAGGGCCGGGATGGCTGTGGGCACACAAGGGTGCTGATCAGCGCTGGGTGAGCAGCACTTCTGGAAGACAGCTCTTCAGACTTCCAAAGCGCTAGTCTGCACTCGGGTTATAATGAGGGATACGTGATGGCCACAGACGAGCAGAAGAACACGCAGTGAGATGATCATCCCACTGCCATGGAAGGTCAAGGCCTTTCTTGGAACACCCATGTGTTAGTTTCAGGAAGGCTTTTTGAAAAAAGAAAACTGGGGCCACTGTGGCATAATATCACCTTTGAGGAAAGGTGACACAAACTCGAAAGTCAATTAACAAATAATAAACCTTCCCAACTAACCAAAACAGCAACATTCCTGGTCTTGCGCATGATCTACTCCCAGATTTAGCTGAGAAGACAATAAATGCTCCTTCAACAGAAAGTATTCAGACACACCATCAGATTTGTATGCTGTCTTAAGTAAACTCAGTCTCTCACTAGATTAAGGGGATGTTCCCCCCAAGTCTTTCCTTTACTCAGAACACTGGTCGAGGAAATTCTTCGCCTGACACGCCTCCCGTGAACGGACCACGGAAGCAGTGCCTTCACTGGGAGAGGGGCTGCAGCCCTACTGTGTGACTACTTGCAGTCACAGTTCACAGAGGCACTCCCTCGGACCCTCCACAGACGGCCAGCCCCCAGGGGAAAGGACTGGGCTGGCTGTCTCCTGATTCCGGGCCCAGGAAACCTGAAGCGGCCCTGCATTTGCTAGGGGCATTTTCAACTCTCCCTGGACCCTGAGCACATACACGGAGTAATCTTGCTTTGGCTGAGGCAGGGGTCTGAAGCGATCTCAAGGCTGTGGACAGACTGGTTCGCTCAGCAAGCGTGACCATGGAGCCAACAGCCGGGCCCTGCCTCTCGGCAAGCTCAGCGCTCTGCACTACTGCAGGTACATTAGTGGAGAACATCGTACATGACGGAGCCATCCTCCCATCCGGGGATTCGCAAACGTCTTAGGACATATCACTATCAAAGTTCAAAATCCTACAGATACCTGACAATGGAGTCAGAGACGAGCCAGCAGGGAAATGCTGGAAGATCAGTTTTAAAAGTTCAGAGAAAGATTTACAGCTCACTCTTAAAGCCACACACTCGTTCCACAGGCTGCAAGGAGGCTGGTGAGCAGCTGACCATTTTCTGCGGCCCATATTTAAGCTCCTATAAGATAACCACGCAAGACACGAGGTCCTGAGTCAGGGTCAAAGTCGACCCTCCAATACCACTGGGTAATAAATAACGTATTCTGTCACTTGATTTATGTCAGGTTGGAGCTGTAAAGTGTTTGTGTTTCCCACTGATGAACAAGAGTATTTATGTTCAGAATCTACTGTCTCAGTTCTACTTTTTGTATTTTTTCCCCTAAGTAGACTACAAACTCCTGAGAGTCAAGTACGCACTCTCTACTTCTTTTTAACAGCTCCGCCCAGACCTGTGCCGGTGCGCGCAGACACGGCGCCTGCAAAACCCAGGCCGGGAAGTGGGTGTGATGGGAGGCTAACGCTGCGGGCGCCCTGCGATGACTGGGGACCACAGTTACCATGTGTCACGGCCTTCCTCCCACTGGCCATGATGCCATCACAGAGCTGAATGATTTTGGGAATCCCAACGATCTGCTTTGAGTGATAGCGTTCATAAGACAGTAAGACCAAGAAGAAAAAGATGTTTGGAATAATCGCCTCCGATTGCCTGGAAACAAAAACAACCATTTAGACACCTCCCCTGAAAATGAAGAGACATCATCAGTATAAGCAACAAAAAGTTACGCCTGACTCAAAGCTGAGAAGAGAGAGAACGTGAAGCTACAGGGAACTCAGCGATCTGATGGAACCCCACCACCGTCACCCAGCTGTTGGCCTACAAGGTGGGGGCGACGTGCCCCACGGAGGGCGCTGACGGGTGGAGAGCTCAGTGCAGGTGCGCAGAAAAGCACCCCAACAGCACTGATGTACACGGGGTGCCCCTTGGTTAGCTCTCCCTGGGCCCCTGCCATCTCCCGTTGAGGAACCTGGACTCAAAGGGGAAAAGTAACTTGTTCAAGACCACAGAACCACACTGCCACAGAACAAGATTACGAATCTGGGTCTCTAGGCCCGAGGGAGGCTCACAGCGGTTTTCTTCTGCTCTGTGCATCCTTAACTCCAGAAACTAAGGAATCTTAACTTCCAATAATTGTATTTATAAATCTGTATCTCCCGTAGCAAGAAGTAATACATGTCTAGCAAGGGAAAACTGGCGATTAATGACGTACACAGTAATTATCTCTTACTAAAGACAGCTTTACCCAAAAAATACTTCCTCTAAGAAGATTAAAACAATTACTGCTCCATCAGATAAGATTTCACTTAGCAATCTGGCAACATAATTAAATGCTTTGAAATGTGAAATGAGAACTGACAACACATGTAATTACGAGATGCAGAACTACTGAGACGCTGCCGCTTAATTTTTACGGGTAGCAAAAACGTACGGCATGTTAATGACGTTTCCACCCAAAAATGATCTAAGCAGCTGCCTAACCGTCCTTTAAGGAAAGCACCCCTCTCAGGGATCTAAAAGTACGTATGAAGACACACGGAGGACAAGAACGCTGGGAGAGCAAGATGCTCTTACCTGAACTGGCCCACTTCGATGTACTCAAACTGTTTTAGCACAAATCCAATGAACACCTACAGGCAGGAAAATAGAAATGTTCATAGCGAGTAATAGGATTAAAATGTGCAAATTAGGTTACTTGTAGAAACAGCAGGTTGACATTTCTTCCCACTCATCTGTGTAAATTTTTAACACATTTCCTGACAGCAGATAAATCTGTTTACAGACAAGAATTTAAATAAACACGTTCACTGAACACAGAGGTAAAACCTCACTGAAAAAACAAATAATAAACTCCAAAAGATACCAGGCAGTACCCAAAGGACACACATGGTGGACTCATTTGATCTAGTTCATGACAAATCACAGAGCACAGGTTTCTTCCAGCTGGTTAAGTGATGACATGACCAAATCTGTGCATCCTCCGTCTTCCCCCCACCCCCAGCCAGAGGGAGCAGTCCTGCAGAGGGGCTGCGGAGGCGGGGAGGGGGGCCCGATGAACAGAGGCAATTCTGCAGGACTAGATTAAACCCGGTTTCGCATCACACTCTTCACGCACATCCGCTTGCTCGGCCCACTTGAGGAGAAGCTTCAAAAGAGAAAAGCATGGAACTTCTATTTTGCTCACAGCCTCTGGCCATGATGCTAGACACAGAACAGGCACTCAACAGATCATTACTTGAATTGAGTTAAACCTTTTACCTGGTCTAGTTTCCTCTCTTTCATTTGAATGGGTACTGTATTGACTCCTAAGAACCTGGGGAAGAGACACTGAGGGATGAAGGCAAACGAGAACAAATGTGGGCTAGAAGTGGCAAGAACACCACCACCCACGCGAGAGGTATTTGGAAAATGACTTTGCTGGACTGAGGCAGAGAGAGCTGGGGCCCAGAGTGAACCACGAGCTAACAATGTGTTCACCATACACACAGCCAAGCACGGGCTGTATGAGAGAACGCCCAAGCCATCCTCCCTCAATGTTGACAGACTGCGTGGGGATTCTAGAAAGACAGGAGAAAAGCAACGGAAACCATCCCAGTTTTGAGAAGGCTCCGTGTGGAATGACTGAAGAAGGAAATGGGATAAACAGTCAAGTCTATCTAATGCTATGTTAAGAGTGAAGAGTTGTTTCCTTTCGTTGTTTACTAAAGGTGGGAACACTGGTGGTTCAGTGGTAGGATTCTCGCCTTCCCTGGGGGAGACCCAGGTTTGGCCAAAGCACCTCACGCACAGCCATCACCAACCTGTCAGGGGATGCTTGCGTGCTGCTGTGATGCTCAACAGGTTTAAGTAGAGCTTGCAGACTAACACAGACTAGGAAGAAAGGCCTGGCAATCTACTTCCAAAAATTGGCCAATGAAAACCCAATCGGATCCCAAACCAAACACAGGGACGGCCCAGGACCGGGTAGCACTTCGTTCTGCTGCACATGCGGTTGCCCTGTGTTGGGGGTCAACTCGAGGGAAGCACAACCAAAGGTAGCCAAACAGACCCCACCATCTACAATGACCACATGAGAAAATCAGGGTCCACCCAGGATGAGTTGGGATCGGGAAACTCTGAGGAAGAGGTAGACGACATTCTCTGACGTGTCCGTACTAGAATGGACCAGACCGACACCCTCTATCCCCGCTGAGCACGCTCACTGTGGCCCTGTGCTTCTTACCAGGAAGGACTCAAGGAGTCTTCCCTATTCCATGAATTTCTATCACACACACACCCAGGGGCTGGCTCCCCTTGCAGCCACTGCCACCCCGTGTGAGACCAGGGCTTCCCTCCACCAAGGACTGAGAGCTGAGTCCACCCCTCGACACTGCTGATCCTCAAGGTTGACCCCCCTCATGCCACTTGTGGGGACTCAGGGTCTTGAACACATGTCCTTGCTTCTCCTAAAGAAACAGACACCTGATTGTGAATGAAGGTGCCAGGAGTTCTACAGACAATTTTAGGTCTAGGAGGAAACGGAGAATTACGATACACCTATCTCAAAGAATTTCCTTCCTCATGTGAGAGAGCAGCCAAGATCCCAGTCCAACAAGGACAGTCAAGGTCTGGTTGCCTCAAAGCAATCTCACCTGTGGTGAATTTAGCTAGACTCAGCCTTGTTTAAGACATGCAGTGTTATTAAGCAACATAACTTGGCACCTTTTCCACCTGGTGCCAGAATCTCATCCCTGCCCTACAGTGAGGAAGAGAAAGGCAAGGCTGCTGAGAGTCCCACCTGTCAGGGAAGGACAGTGATGCAGGCCCTGGAGCCAGGCTGTGTAACTACCACGTGGAGATAAGGAACACAGGTACTCTTCCTGTCAGAGTACATCCCTTTTACAAGAGGCTAGTGGAGTCTGGATTGCTTGAAACTGTAATTGTAACTGATAGTCTCTGTTTAAAATAAGTTTCTGGATTTTGCACAAATGTCCCCCAAAACAATAAATCTTAATTATATCTTACAATTTAAATTCAAACTCTGTTTGGAGTGAGGGGAGGCAAGTGGATGGGAAGAACCTTTGGCAATATTTTTAACGACTCAACCCAACAGAGCGTAACACAGACTTGGGAGGGAGGCCTGGGGTGCGGACAGCTGGACTGGCCAAGGCCTGCTCTGGGCCTGGCATTCTGCATGCAGCTAGTTGCATGAAAGACGCATCAATTGGTGGGGAACAAAACTGCACCTTTTTTTAAGGTATAGTTCAGTGTCTTTTTCAGGTAATTTTGATGAAAGTGTGCTCAGGCAGGGTTAAATGATGAACAGGCACCGGGGTGAAAGGCAAAGTGACAAACCTGATCTGAATCCAGAAGACAGTAATTGACCCGTAACTGAACCAGCTGCGCCAGCAGGTCTAAAACCTGCTTCTGCAATTGCACAGACGTTGTTGTGGTGTACTGTTTTAAAGCTTTTATAACAAGCGGCTCAAATAAGCGAATGTGATTATGAATAGCATTCTATAAAAAAAAAGAAAGAAAGAAAAAGAATTCATTAGTGATTCTTCAACAAAAAGCTTCAAGTAACCAATCTGGAAAGTCTCAACTCAATTTTTATTTCTAGCACTGAAACTGTTTCCCGTTCACGTGACTTCATAAGCTACAGCTCACAATTACCTTATCTGCACGGTTCTTTGTGACGCCTGTGAGGTTTGTTTTCAATTGGGAAGACACTTTCTGGAGCACATCGAACCACCTGCCAAACAAAAAAGAGAAGAGAGACAAATACGCTTAAATAGTCTCCTCCTATACTTGGCTCTACTCCAGCTCAAACTAATTTCAGTCATAAAATCGTAAGTCTTCAGAGTCAGAAAGCACTTTAAAGGCCACTCAGTGTAACGATAGCACGTTCCTTTTTAAAGAAGATAACTGAACTAAATTTAGAGTCTGCAGCTGACGAATAGCCATTAAATGCTGTTACCTGCAGGAGGCAACTCAGGGCTGAGCTGTCTTCTGCTACAACGGGAAAGTCTCTAGGTGGCAGGAGAGAAATGGGAAAATTCTAGGAAACCAAAGCATCTCAGAGATTTGGTAATCTAGAAGGTTATCTACTTGACTTCCTTGAAAAACACAAAACACTTTAAGATATTTACACTAACTACATCCTTTAAAAAATGTAAATATATACACGAAATGAAAAGACAAGCAAACATAGACATACACACAGGCACACTTGTTTGTTCATTTACATCCCACATCATTACACGAGCACTTAGATAGACCTGCCCCCGCCCCCCCGGTTTGGACACACAGCAGGTACGTCAGTGACACTCATGCAGAGCCAGACACACAGCTATTCTCCTCAGCTCCTGACTCGTGTATCTGAACTGTTGCTGTCTGATCACTACATCTACAAAAGGAAAAACGAGGGGCTCTACTGTTCTGTTAGTGAGTATCTGAACTGTGGCTGTCTGATCACTACATCTACAAAAGGAAAAACGAGGGGCTCTACTGTTCTATTAGTGAGTATCTGAACTGTGGCTGTCTGATCACTACATCTACAAAAGGAAAAACGAGGGGCTCTACTGGTCTATTAGTGAGTATCTGAACTGTGGCTGTCTGATCACTACATCTACAAAAGGAAAAACGAGGGGCTCTACTGGTCTATTAGTGAGCAGCAACTCAAACACCATACTTTTATGAAAACAACATGGGTGTTATATGCTTTTTTTTTTGCCATCCATGCCCTCCCCTTCCAAGGTATTTTCATAAGCGTGCTATGTTAACTATTTTTCACAGCTATGTGTAAAAAAAAATGTTGGCAGTGTGCTTACAAAAATGCTGCACGGGGAGGGTGGGGTTGGCAAAGTAACATGTAATGCGCACTGTTTGCATAAAAATACGGTATCTAATAATTATGGTAATTTAAGAAATACCTACTGTATTAAGGCATCCCAGGCTGAAACATAAATTTAAGTGAAAAGAGGCTTTTAGCCATAAAGCTCACAAAACACAGTCATGTATCCAAGCCTCTTCCATGCCCTTCAAATGCCTCTGAAAGCTAACAGAACTGCTGTGTTGAAGCTGCCTTTTCACCTTACTTACATACGTGAAGACCGCCACCACACGACACATTGCCAGAAAGGAAAATGTCATTCAGTGTGCTGTCAGTGTGTGAGGAGGTTCTGCGTCACAGCTCTGGTTTGTTAATGCTTCGTGCACAGCCCACCTGGTCTCCGCCTCGTCTTCCCAATCCCCTTGGAGATGGGATAATCTCACAAATACCTATCTCGCTCACTGGGCCGTGCACGTCTGTGAAGGCAGGGCTATGCCACAGCCACCTTTGCATCACCGATAAAAGCAGACCATCAGAAGATGTGGCTTAGTCTTTTCACACATCCACTCCTCCTCTTTCATGTTCCCACCAATGACAGCACACAGACACGGGGGCTGTTACCCTGAAGCGTCGGGCTCCTGCTCTGCCTGCACCATGTTTCTGAGACTGGCATCCGCCAAGGCCTGGGTGAAGTGGGTGTACGGTGCCATGAAGCAGTAATGGTACAGGCCAGGCCGCACACTGGAGGAGCCTAGGCGCTGGGCGCGGCCTTGAGACTTGCTGGGGTTGGAAGACAAGCCATCGAACTGGGACGCCAAGTTTGTCCCAAAGAGAGTCTTCAACAACTAGGGTGAAAGAAGCGAAGTCATCAACAGGTGACTTCATGAAGCACCTGGGGCTCTCCCACACAACTACCAAATCCATCCCCCAAGGAATTGGATATGTGAGCAGAAATTCAGACTGAAACACTTACTGTCAGTCACACATGTACCCTGTGGGGTTTCTCTTGTGAAGTGTTGCTCAGACCTTCAATAAGAATAACTGGCCCCTAGTACTTCAAGTGGCCCTGTGACTCCAAGTGAGGGTGAGCATTCCAAACAAGCCCCTGGAGAAACGCTGAGATGTTGGCCAGGTACTGAGGGCCCAGTGGAGCTACAGATGCCCCCACCGCCCAGACAGACGGGCCTCCTCTGCCAGAAGCATGAGACACGTGGTGACGGGAGAAGGACCCACCCTCCTACACTGACACCTTGGCCCTGAAAATGGGGTGAGTGAAGGCGTGACAGGTGGGACAGCCAGACTGCCCTGCCCTTCCTGCTGACCGCATCTCCCCCCACCATCCAGGTGACACACAGCATGGCATCGTCAACTCTGCTGTGAGGGCTCGACAGTAGAGGACTGCTGAGGGCCTCCTCACCTGCTGAACACAGACCGTCGCCATCATCGGCTCTCGATTAAAGCAGGATTTCAGGTACCCGAGGATCTCTTCAACACACTACGGAGATAGGAAGTAGTAAGACACTGAAGTAACTGTTGTGAGCCCTAGACATATCAAAAACACAGGCAGCTTCATTTTAAGTTGTATACATTAGTAAAAATCAGAGGAAGGTTGCAATTCCCAATTTATCATCTTGAGCAGAGAAAAGCAGTAAAAAGTACAGAAATCAAAGCAGAAATATTTCAACTATTCATGCATTTAGAATTCATGCATTCACCCTCCTTTCATTCATTCATTCAGCCAGCATTACTGTGTGTCGACTCTGGGTCTGGCCCTACTTGCAGGGTAGGAATGCGTAAGTATACAAGCATCAGAAAACCCTGCATCTGTGGAGCTGAAGTTCAAGTGAGCATAATACATTTACTGCAAAATAATGTATCCTTAATCTGTGATTTAACAAACTAACAAATTAATTCCAGAAAGTCTTAATCTGCAAAAATGACCAAAATGATTGCCTTAATGTTCATACCTCCCAGACTATTTTATCATCCTCAAAAATCATATGGAAGGCATCTGGTGTTCTTTTGAAAAATCAAAAGGAAGACCTTAAATCTGAGAACCTCACTAACCAAGGCACGTGAATCAACAGTGTGCTTCCTCAGTCCCTAACTAATGGTGATCCAGTTTCTATTAACTTTGCTGAAAACCAACACCAATGAGATTGAAAACGACTCTTGCTTAAATTGTCTGACATAATTTCCTGTACTAAAAAGCAACAGACTTCTGTTGGCTTCAAATACTCAAGAACCATATATTTCTAAAATTCAGATCTACTCAAATTAGATTCTAAATACTCAAGGTTGTACTTTTCAGGGTTGAACTTGTTACGTGTCACCTTTTGTTTTTACCAGCGCATAGCAGATACTTAATAAATGTTAATTAGAAGAATTACAACTAGAGTCTTTCAAATCCCAATTTGTCTAACAACGGACCATATGTCTTAACAAATGCATGGAATGCACGGAACACTTGATGTACACCAGAAACTGTGCAGGTGCTGGGAACGGGGGAGGAAAAGTTGCTGTGCCTGGCCCTCAAAGGCTAGGGTAACACGTCACCATCACTAATACTAATGTGTAATACAACGCAGAGAGACTTCCACTTCAGGAAGGGTAAAAGAAATCAAATTTATCCTCCTGCCTGAAACAACCTGAAAAAATAAAAATAAACAGACCAATAATTTTCAAGATGCTGAGCATCAAGCCATGAAGGATGAGAGCAAATGAGGCGGCAGGTCGTGGCACCAGGAGGAAGAGAAAGGCAAGCCTGGGGGACCTCTGAGTTGAAGAGAAGGAACTGAGAATCCCAGGAGACCAAGATAGCCACGACTCATAGGACAAGTTTCTGGGAAGAGAGGGCTGCACAGAAAGAGAACTCCAGAGATCGGCAGGGCATCCCCTTGAGGGCTCAGCAGACTGTAGGCATGTGGATGAGGAAGCTACCCGAGGCCAGAGAAAGAAGTATCTGGACGGACTGGAGGGAGCAGTGTTTGGTGCTCACATGGGCCTGAAAATGGGTACTGCTGCCACCAGCCACATGGGAAGAATTCACCATTCACGGGCAGGCACCGAGTAGAGTCCTCGGTAAGTGAACGAAGGCTGGCCTCAGCAGTGGTGAGTGGCCCTAGACCATGGACTGCTTCGACCAATCAAACAAATCGTAAAAGAAAGACCCAAAAAATCAAACTACTTCAAGTTACTTAACTGCATCCCAGAATAAAGTTTAAGAAAGTTCATAGAACCTACAGGCTGGGAAGAGAAAATCTTCAGGAACGACATATTCGATGAAGGGCTAATCTCTAAAATATACAGAGAACTTCAGCAACTCAACAACAGAAAGACAAATAATCCAATAAAAAAAAAATGGGCAAAACATCTTGGACTCCTATCGGAGACTGGCAAACAGTGGGTACGAGAAAGCAGCTTCATGGAGCTTCCATCAGGAGACAAAACAACTGGTAACCAATGATACATACTTTCCCACCCATCACCCTTCTTCACCCCCACTCAGTCTCCTCTGCTTCCCGTGGCCACTGTCTCTTGGCTGGGAAGCACTGGCTGCACCCCGGTGTCGCTTGGATTCTACCTGCCCATACTGGCCGGCTTCCTGAGTGCCATTTGTTGGCTGCTGGTGTTGCTTTTTTTCACTTCATTGGATTTCTTCCTTACCCCTCACCACCTCCCCCTCCTTTTTCTCAAATACCTGGCTCCGTGGCCATCTTTACTTCTTCCTGGGGGACTGCGAGGCACCGCTCGACTGTGGAACTGCTTCCCGGCCCATGCTGCTGCGCTGGTGGGATGCCCGGGGCTTTATGTTTGTTCTGATTTGTTCTGTTTTGGTTTGTTCATTTGATTGTTTTTTCTTTTCTCAGCTTCAGAGCTCCTTCTGGCCGGGCAGTGCCACACGGCTTGGGAGATACTCCCTTACTCTGTGCAGAGGCACAGTGACATCCCTGGGGGCATTTTATTTTTTCTAGTTTTTGTTTATTTTGTTTTCTTCTCTCTCTTTTTCCCTTTTTGTCTTTCTTCATTTCCAGTTTGTCGATTTTTTTCTTTTACCTTTTTCTTTTTTTGTTCATTTTTGTTTTTCTCCATTTCTCAGTCTCTCATCTCTCCACTCCAAAAGCAGGCTCCCTGAGCACTCTTTTTTGTTTGTGTGTATGTTTTTGGCTCCTGTTCCTCTCTCCTCTCTCTCCTCCTTCCCATACCCATCTTAGCTCCACGCATCACAATCTCGCCCCTCCTTCCTGTCTACCTGTACTGTGCACTGAACATCACACCCCTAAGCAGCACAGGCACGGCCTACCAGAACCTGCCATGCTCTGATTCCCGGCCCACCCTGTCAGCCCTGGTAGGTGCCACAAACAACCCATCCCAGCAACTCCCCTTCAGCTGGACCTGCCCTGCTGTACCATACCTGAGTACTGACCCTGCCCATTGGAGGAGGTGAAAAGTATCATGCCCACAGATGAGCAAACAACAAAGAACGCACAGCCTACCTGTTTAGACATAACCAAATAAAACAAAAAAGCAGGACGAAACAAACAAATCTATAATCAATAAACAGGAAAATAACTACTGAATGCCCCAAGGACAGCAGACAATATCAAAACATACAAAAACAGGGCAGGATGGTTCCAGTAGGCATCCAAAATAAAACACCAGATAACTTTCCAGCAGAAGAAAAGGCACTAAAACTACCTGATAGGGAATTCAAATCTCTAATATTCAGAATTATCCAAGAGTTGAAGCAAAAAGCAGACAAAAATGAAGAAAAAATAGACAAATTCAAGGAAAAGGCAGACAAATTCATGGAAAATACAGACAAAAAATGGAAGAATTCAAGAAAATAATACAGGAACAAATGCTAAAATAAATCCACAACTAGAAATCATACGAAAACAACATTTAGAAATCCAAAAGATAAACAGCAAGACTTCAGAAATGGACAGTGTCATAGAAGGGCTGAGGAGCAGGTTTGAAATGATGGAAGACAAGATCAGCGAAACTGAAGACAAACAATTGGATACAACTCTGAGGAAAAATCAGAAAAAAGAATGAAGAAAAATGAAGAAACCCTGAGAATTATGTGGGATACATCAAAAGCAAAAATCTGTGAGTGATTGGAGTTCCAGAACAGGGGGAGAAAACAGAAAACACAGAGAACATCACTGAAGAATTGCTGACAGAAAACTTCCCCAATATCATGAAAGATGAAAAGCT